AAAATTTGGAAGCACCTGTGGGATTTTTAAAAAATACCTGTGCCTGGATCTCATCCCAAGAGATGATGGTTAACAGGTAAGGAAAAAAGTCTTGATGTCAGATTTTAAAAGCTTTCCTTGGTGATTCTAATATGCAGCAAGTTTGAGAGCCACTGCTTCATAGCCATGGTTTTCATGACTTTCTCTTCCTCCTGCCCACACTCCCTGCGTGAGAATCTGTGCAGATCGGGGGTAGTGCCCGAGATTCTACATTTTAAAAACATTTATTTATTTATTTTTATTGATTGATTAGAGACAGAGAGAGAAATGCCGGTTGGTTGCTTTCTCTATGTACACTGACCGAGGATCCAGCGCAAACTTGGCGAATCAAATCGGGACAACATTCTACGCAACTGAGCTACCCGGCCAGGGCTCTAAAATTCAACATTCTTAACAAGCTCCCTGAGGGACCCTTATGCAGGGTTTTTCTTAAAAGTGTACCCTAGATATCAAGAGACCTTTTAGGGGTACCTAAATATCCAGTTACAGTTAACTAATATTTGAGAATAGGTTGTTTTAGTTAATCAAGTATCCTGGTTTATTAATCATTGCTGTATAGTATTGCCAGTTATAGATTGCCAGTAAAATGTGCTTTATAGATAGCTCAATGTCAAGATTATATTCCATAGGATTTGATCCTTGAAGCAGGAAGTATAAAAGCACACAGTAGGTAATTCTTTACTCTCTTGATAGTATGTTCTATAAGTTACTTCTCTGATTAAATCTTCCATGTCTGCCAATGGACCTACAATCATAGCAGAATTGAAGGGAGAGAAATGATTTTCTTTATGTTGTTTTGTGATGTGGAGTCTGTTACAGTGGAAGTTTAAGAGGTGTTACATCACACAGTGGCTCAGTGTTCAGACTGCCTGGGTTCAGAATACTGGATACTCCCCTGACCGCCTGGCTTGGTGCAGGAGGAATGAGAGCAGTCATTAAGGGCTCACACAGTGCCTGTACTGTGTGGGCACTCATTGAGCCCTGACTGCTGTGCTATTTATAGCGAGGAAAGTAGCTTTTTGTGTAAACGATTACTTCGTACTTATAAAGAATGTAGGTGTGAGAAGAGTTTTGACTTAGGAAGCCTTTTGCTAAGTTTCTGTGTCTAAGGAAAAACTGGGACTGTGTCCAAACCCCTCTCTTGGTCCTCAGGGAATCAAGGCTGTCCTGGCGGAGAGCTATGAGCGCATCCACCGCAGTAACCTGGTCGGAATGGGAGTGATCCCCCTCGAGTACCTCCCGGGGGAGACGGCGGACACCCTGGGACTCACGGGGCGGGAACGATACACCATCAACATCCCAGAGAACCTCAAACCACGAATGAAAGTCCAGGTCAAGGTAAGCCGGGGCCTCTCCATGCCAGGGCCAGCTCACAGGGACCCTGTGTTTGTAATCCATCTTGCTAGAAGGAAATCAGTGGGATTTGGAAGAAGAAAAAACAAAGGGTAGGACTAAATTAGCCTTAAGAGTTGTACTAGCCCCCTTTCTACCTGCCTCACAACATATCACGTATTTCTGTTTATTCATAGTTATCAGTCCCATTCATACCTCCAAGCCTTTCCCATTCCTCCCAGTTTCACTTAGCCCGGAGACTATTGGCGAAAGCTCGGGGGCAGGACATGACCTAAAAAACACCTTTTTTATTATAAGAATGTGAACAACAGACGCTGTCCCCATCCGAGTCTTACCCCAAATGACAGCTCCCTGGGTGAGGAAGGGAGGAGATGCCCACGCCCAGGTCCCAGGGGGACTTAGACTCCCAGGCAGAGGCAGCTGCTGAGGTCTGTGTCCAGGGTGAGGAGCTGGGCCCAGTGCCTAAGGGACCCCAACAAAACCTGCTGACCTGAGGCCTCCTCTGCAGGGAGCCCTGAGAGGCTTGGAAACACCGTGCCCAAGGCCACAGTGACTACTGCCCAGAGAGGCCCTTTCTAAGTCTCAGATGCCTCTCACGCCCATCACTCACACTCTCAGTGCCTGCCCACGCGGATGAGTCGCTGGGATCTTTTAAAATGCAGCTTCTGAATCAGCGGGTCTGCGGGGGGTGGGGGCCTGCGGCCGCGCATGTCCCCAGGCGCTGCCCGTGGCGCTGGTGTGCAGACCCCTCCCCGTGGGGTTGGCCTGGGGGCCACGGCACACGCTCCTCCTGACTGAGCTGCCTCCCCTGCTCCCGCATGACTCTTCTTGGCTTCTTATTGTCGCAGTTGGATACCGGGAAGACCTTCCAGGCGGTCATGAGGTTTGACACCGACGTGGAGCTCACCTATTTCCACAACGGAGGCATCCTCAACTACATGATCCGCAAGATGGCCAAGTAGGCCCCGTCCCCTCGGAGACCTGCCCTGGGAGCTGCCCGGAGCGTGTGCGGAGCCACCGGCCGCCGAGCCCCTGGTGCAGAAGCGAGGCCCCCGCCTCTCTGCGGGGTGCTGCCTTGCAGACGGAGCACAGAGCACTGGCGTGGCGGTGCCCTTCCTCCAGGCGCAGGCAGCAGTTCCTCCATTCTCTCTTTTCCTTCATCTTTGTATCTTTTTCTAGAATTTGGAGGCTAGCATGGTGGAATGTCAGTAGTGCCAGAAAGAACTGAGCGTGTCTTTAAAGTTA